ATGATATTTCGTTAAAATAAAAAGAGGCATATACCTATATATATATTTATATTTTATGCATATATATATATTTTAATGAAATACCATAATGATGGCCTAGATCGTCTGTTATAGCAAGAGACAAAATAATGATGTGTCGACGAGCTGCTGAGAATATGTGGTTCTCTAGTAACAAGTTCATCACTATCAGCATGCACCAGAAATTCCACAATTTTTGACACTCCTTCTCTGTTGTACGACTTATTCAGATAAGCAGAGTTGTAGTATTTGATGAGCTCTGCAAAACTGTACTAGCAGAGTTTTTCAGCATTCACAAATGTTTGAGGTTTCTTGCACATAAGCGACGACTTGCTGCCATAGAAGACTGTTCAGAGCCAAAAAGAAGTTTTCATTTTCTCGATCTCATATGAAAGAGCAATCAATTCTAAGTCAACTAGCATTATCTGACCGAGAAAATGAAAACTTCTTTTTGGCTCTGAACAGTCTTCTATGGCAGCAAGTCGTCGCTTATGTGCAAGAAATCTCAAACATTTGTGAACGCTGAAAAATTCTGCTAGTACAGTTTTGCAGAGCTCATCAAATACTACAACTCTGCTTATCTGAATAAGTCATAGAACAGAGAAGGAGAGTGACAAAAGCGTTTTTTGAGTTTATGGGTAAGCTTAAAAATAAAAATTTAAGAATCATCATGATAAGAATTTTAAGAAAAGTTTTAATAAAACTAATAAGAAATTAAAAAGATGCAGGCAAGAAGAAGAAAATGTGCATGCTGATAGTGATGAACCTGTTACGAGAGAACCACATATTCTCAGGAAGTGGTTGACACATTATTAGATAGAAAACGACGAGAGGAAACAAATGTATATCCGCCTGGCAAAAAATAGTTTCAGTCGTGTTTGTGAATATATCAATGCTGTAATCAATGATCAAAGTTCAAGAGTGATAATAAAACTTGAACTTAGTATTTGTCGCAATAGTCTACAAATCTAATAACTGAGCGAGCATCAGAGTCCTTGTTGTGGTTATTTCCTGAAAACAAGAAGAACAACTGGCAGTCCACAATAAGACACAGCCATTCTGATGTCTAGTTTAACTGGGCTTTCACTCTGTGAATGTCGTTTTCAGTGGTTACCAGCTGTGGATGCGTTGTCGGAAGTGATTTTCGTCTTATTGCTGCTGCTTTGTTATGGTATTCTAATGCTGATTGCCAAGTACGAGTTGCTTCATGCGCGAGTCCCATATTACGGTATGTCAAGGCGATATGAGGGTGATCGGGTGGAAGAGCTTTTACTCTGATTTTCAATGCTTTTTCATAGTTCATCAAGGCTAAATCATATTCACCTTTGTCATCCTGTACATTACCAATATTGTTGTATGTTGAGGCGATATCAGGGTGATCGAGTGGAAGAACTTTTAAGAAGATTTTCAATGCTTTTTTATAATTCATCAAGGCTAAATCATATTCACCTTTGTACCACTGTACAGCACCGATATTATTATATGTTGAGGCGATATCAGGGTGATCGGGTGGAAGAGCTTTTACTCTGATTTTCAATGCTTTTTCATAATTCATCAAAGCTAAATCATATTCACCTTTGTTCTGGTGTACAATACTGGTATTGTTATATACTGAGGCGATATCAGGGTGATCGAGCGGAAGAGCTTTTAATTGGATATTCAATGCTTTTTCATAATTCATCAAAGCTAAATCATTTTCACCTTTCTGTCCAGCAACGATGCCCAATCCTAGGTAACACTCAGCAATACAAGGATCATCCACTGCCAGCCCATTTAACAATCGTTTATAATATTTTTCGGCCTTGTCCAATTCACCCATCTTTGATAACAAATTTCCAAGTGATATGAAAGTAGTTTTACTTGCCATCTCCTTCTTCATATGATCAAACACTTGTTTCAATTCATGGTCATCTTCGTTGCATAAATCTAAATCAGCCACCCAGATTTGCTGTTCTTTTTCATAGTGAACACTTTCAAGTCGAAAGATCGAACCAAGCATAAGCAGGATTTCTTCCTCATCAGGGAAATAACTAAATCGAGAAATATCGGCAAATGGTTTTGCTTTTATTCGACTGTCAACTTTAATTTTGAAGAGAACACATTCAAGATCTTCGCGCAGAGCACTCTGGGTAAATTCAAGTGCCTTCTTCTGACTACGAGTTGTGGACAGAAAGGAATTTATCGAGATGAATTCGCCAATACTTGAACGAATATGATCAAGTTCATCTTTCGATATCACTTGACCTCGGTATAATCGACTGATGTTTGTGTTGGACGGTTCTTTTATGAGCTGGCTGTGAATATCGGTGACTAGAAAACGAAGTGCGAAGAGAATGTCGATGTCCTGAACTCGAAGCGCTTTGTTCAGCATCTTATAGAGAAAACAGTCTTGAGTGTACCATCGTAAAGCATCAGACGACTTGTATGTTTGCAGTCATCGAGATATGACGTAATTAATTTGAGCTGCTCGCCAACCATCCATCATCAATCTTTGAAAAAAATGTTTCCTTTCGGCAACGAATGCTTTTCGCTAGAGAAGAGGGTTTTTGTTTTCGTATAAGTTCTCAATGGTTTGTTCGTAGGAAAAAGAGGAAGAGTCCATAATGATTACAAGAAATGTAGATGAATAAAGTCTGTTTCAAGTGCATCAAGAGCCATTCAGTACGTCTCGATCAGAGTTGGAACCGGTTGAATTTCTCCTAACCGGAAAGGACCGGCCGGTTTAATGCGTAGTTCAATCGGTAATAAACCGGCCGGTTCAGTTTTGGAGTTCAACCGTGAAAAACCGGTCGATTCCATAGCAGATTAAAGTCCGGATTTTGTGAAAAACCGATTTTTTGCAGAAAGCTAAGCTTGTGTATTTTCAAAATCTTCCTGTTATGGTTATTTCAGTATTAACGTGAGGTA